AAACCCTAAACCCTAAACCCTAAACCCGAAACCCTAACCCTAAACCCGAAACCCTAAACCCGAAACCCGAAACCCTAAACCCGAAACCCGAAACCCTAAACCCGAAACCCGAAACCCTAAACCCTAAGCACCCCTGCAGAAGGCTCGAGAGGCGACTCCCTGCAGAGCTCCTTCGGGGCTAAACTGGAGAAAGCTGGAGGAAGAGGGACCTTAAGGTGTGAAAAACGCGGGTACGGTTTAGGGTTTAGGGTTTGTGTGGACCGGCCTAAAAAGAAGGTAGCCCTATTGTGAAGAAACGGCGATCTACCATAACCAGTAAACACCGATATCATGTAGGGGCCCTGATAATTAGAATAGGGTTGTGGGGTATGTTATGCCATTATATTCTGGACCCCCCTCAAAAAATTAAAACTAAATATAGGCAATCATTAAGGCCTCTACCCTAATCAATACTCGAAACCTTCTGTCAACCCGAAGGACCCGATACCTGAAACCCAGTATACCTGAAGCACCCGAAGCTCCAGGAAAAAATAGCTTAAGGGTTTGGGGTTGAGGGTTTAGGTGTTTAGGGGTTTAGGGTTTAGGGATTAGGGGTTTAGGGTTTAGGGTTTAGGGGTTTAGGGTTTAGGGTTTGGGGCTTAAGGGTTTGGGGTTGAGGGTTTGCCCTAAAGTCCCTAAAGTACTGAAACCGTAAAGGCCATAAACCCTGGACCCTAAATCTCATGGATCCCCTCTGGGGCTGCTCTGGGATGCCTCATGGCCCGCATGATATTCCAGCGCGCACACGCGGCATGTCAGCCTGGGCCCAAAGCTTCAAGCGCTTTGAGGGCTTCGGGCTTGCGGTTTGGGGAAAGGGCCTGTGTAGGTTGTTGTTGGTTGTTTTGCTTTTAACGGGTCTTGAAATGAAGAAGGTCATAACAAGTATGTTGCATTGTATAAGTGCCACAGCTAGCAGGCCCAATGCACCTAGGAAGCACGTACTTGGGTTTAGGGCAGCAGTGACCGGAGAGTATGACTAGGAAGTCTCCCTTGTTTAGGATTTACGGTTTAGGGTTTAAGGCTATCAAAAGCCAAAGTTCAAACAAGTAAAGGCCACAAACCCACCATTTCAGGGCTGACAGTCAAGGGTGTTGGGTTCATGGGATTCCTTCTCAGGTTGAATAGGACATGGATGCAAGGGTAAGCCTTTCTTTGAGGGTTTAGAAACTGGGTTTTGGCAGCTACACGCAGCTATGTGCAACCCTAAACCCTAAACCCTAAAGGCCCTGAACTCTTTTCTTGGCGAGATCCACGGGAAGGATTGCAGACAGGTTCAACTCAACTGACTTAGTTGAAGGACTAGCGGACGAATGTTGACACATTTCAGTCAGGGCATTAGAACTTAAACCCTTTAGCGGATGTCGAAGTACGGCTCATGTGCGTAAAGGCGCTGCAGCGCATGAGTTTTGGGTCCTGAATCTGAAGCTTCGGAATTTGGATGATTTCGGGAACTGGGCTGGCCTGAGCGAAGCCCTAAACCCTAAACCCTAAACCCGAATGCATGCAAACGAGGGGCAACAAGTGGAAGAGCAAGAGCCGCGGGGCCGGCAGCCCGCCTCGATGGCTCTGGCTTCTGATATCCCTAAGGGTCCATGTACTCATATAGGATATACAGTGGCCCCAAAGTACCTATATAGGGACTACTTTAAGGCCAAAGTATCTCTATTTGGGTACATGGACCCTTAGGGTATTGGACCACGACGGCGGCCGCACGTAACTGAAGCGACCACCACGACTATGGGCATGAGGTCAAACGACTGCATGGCGAACGTGCTTTCAGCTGCTGATTCCATGGCAATGACAGCAACGATGACAGGACAACGACACTTTTCATGATGTATGCGCAGTCTTCCACATAGTTAATTCTTCAAAGCTCTGACTTTGACCTGTCAGGGCTCTCAATGTCAATGTGTGATAGTATTCCACTATAGCTGGTATCATTGCCGCTAGTGCTATTCCTATTATTACTCATGTGATGTTTGTTACTGTTCGTTGCTGTTGTCGCTGCTGCTGAACTTGCTGCTGTTACTGTCGCTGTCGCCGTCGCTGTTGTGTGGTTATCGCAGTCGTTGGCTGTCCCGTCTTTGCTTGTGTGTGTGTGTGTGGTTGTGTGTTGTTGTCGCGAATGTTATAGTTCTCTGCGTGGTTGCGGTTGCTGCTGCTGTTGCTGCGGATGTTGTTGTTGCTGTTGCTGTTGGCGTTGGCATTGGCGCTTGCGCTCCGGCTCCGGTTGTTGCTGCTGCTGCTGCTTCTGGTGCTGGTGCTGGTGCTGGTGCTTGTGCTGCTGCTGCTCTTTTTGTTGCTGTTGCTGCTGGGTGGCGGCGGTGGCGGCGTTGGCGGCGTTGGCGGTGGCGGTGGTGGTGCAGCTTCGCCAAACATGGTCTTACCACGCCACTCCTGGTAGCAAACCCCTATCAAACGATGTACAACCGTGAAAACGTGTACAAAAAGGAGCATACATGTATATTGTATCATATTATATATATATATATATGTATACATATGTATATGCACATACGATATAGATTTAAACCAATATGTACATATGTATGTGTGTATATATATATATATATATGTATGTATACACATACACAGATGCGTATACATATATACATACATGCAGACATACATATACAGATACCTTTACACATACACATGCATGTGTACATGTATTGTATGTACGTATGCATGCATGTATGCATGTATGCATGTGTACAGAGCCCGGTACACATCGCTTGCAACAGCCGTCTGACACCAGCCCTGAGTCCCACTCGTGCAGTCCCGGAGCGTCGGCACATGAAACACCTCGCAATGTTTAGGGCGGCACAGGCGCGTTTAAAGTTGAAAAACATTAGTATTACAACAAAGAAGTAACATTAAACCTAATATGCGAATAACAATTTAAGGTATTGCATAATTCATTTCATCTCTTGTGTGCCTTTTGTCAGTCGCGTGGGTTTTAGGGTCTCGGGATAAAGGTTATGTTGCTGGCACTGCAAACGGCAGAACGAGTAACTAAAACTCTGAAACACTGTCTAATGGAATGATAAATTTGGTGACAAAACCTCAACCAAGTCTTTGAAGCGTACCGAAAATCTTGACTTTTGTCGACAACGTTCTTACAGAGTCTCTGTGATCCGACCCACTCCGCACACATTGACCCAGGCCTTGCGAGAGGCTTTTCTGAAGTACCCACGACCTTAAAGGGATCTCTGGAAAGGAACCCCTTAAAGGGATCTCTTATAGGTACCCCCTTTAAAGGGTCCCTTTAAGGGACCTTAGAGGGTTCCCTTCAGGCTCCTGTAACCAGGACTTGTTTCGAAGTGCCTCTTCCGCGAGTCGCATTTCCCCTAAACCCTAAACCCTAAACCCTAAACCCGAAACGCTAAACCCGAAACCCTACACCCTAAAACCTAAACCCTAAACCGTTCCGTATTGTCGCGGCTCAAGAGGCTTCAGCAAATCAGCCTTGACCTAAGGACCAGCACAATCGTAGGCTTCAGGATTTGCAATACAGGGTTTAGTGATTTGAGTCGTTTAGTGTCCTATAGGTCAGATAAGTCATTTGGGATCCACTGCCTTTGGGTTCTTCTTATTTATCATAGTGTTTAGGGTTCAGGATTTGGGGTTTAGGGCTGAGTGTTTGAGGTTTCGGGTTTAGGGTTTTAGTGTTTAGGGTTTCGGGTTTAGTGTAGGGTACAAATACCGAATCATCATATACTCTCCCAAATATGAACCTAGGAATCTACTATCCGCAACCAAAGTACCTTATATAATTACCGGGTCCTTTGGACCCTGTGGGTTTACGGTTTAAGTCTGGGTTTAGGGTTCCATTTTACCGCATGTGCCAAGACCACTCCTCGTCTGTAATCTGCTTTCAGGTTTGGGGTTGGGATTACGGTGTAGGGGTTTAGGATTCAGGGTTTAGGGTTTAGAGATTAGGGGTTTAGGGTTTAGGGGTTTAGGGCTTAGGGTTTAGGGTTTAGGGTTTGGGGTTGGGATAACGGTGTATGCTCTCAGTGTTCGGTCGGTTTTTGGTTCGGGCTTGCCGGCTAGGGTTCAGGCCTATAGGTGTGAGGATGACACCTAAAGCCTACGCAAGCCCTGAAATGCCTGAAAGTCAACGCTAAACTTCGCGCACTCTCCAAACGCCAAGCCCTACAACCTTAGTATAGGGGCCTTAATATTTAGAAAAGGGCTTTGGGGCCCTTTATACTTTAATTATAACAATAAGGAATCTCCAAAATATCAAGGCCCTAATATTTAGAAAAGGGCATCGGGGCCCCCTTTATACTTTAATTATAATAAGGAACCCCCCAAAATATCAAGGCCCCTACGTTACTCTCTTGGTGCTGCCCTACACCTGAAAACTCAAATCCAAAACCCTGGGCCGTCGATCTCAGACCCCTTTAGGGTTTTTTTAGGGTTTAGGGTTTAGGGGTTTAGGGTTTAGGGTTTAGGGTTTAGGGTTTTTTAGGGTTTGATGTAGGGGCCTTCGTGCGTAGAATGCGGTTTTGGGCTCCTTTGTAGTATAGTTATAAGAAGGGACCCAGAGGAATGATATTGGCAATCAATTTGTAGGCTTCCATGTTCGGGCGTGGGCTTTACCAACACATCTTAAATTGGGGTCCCAGACAGGCTCAAGTCTGTAAAACCCTGCAAGCCCTGACTCCCAAAACACCCTAAACCGCGAAACCTCTAAACCCGGGTTTAGGGTTTAGGGTTTACGGCCCTAAACCCTAAAACTCCAAACTCTAAACCCCAAAACCAACTAAATCTCTAAACCTCTAAAACCCTAAACACCCCTAAACCCCTACTCCATAAGCCCTGTCAGGCCTGGCATTGGCAGACCATACACCGGGTCTAAGAGATAGCTTTAGACCCACGGCTGGCCAGATTCAGGAACAGTCGGACAGATTTCAGGGGTTCCATTAGGAGTCTGATAGTGTTTAGGGTTTAGGGTTTAGGGTTTAGGGTTTAGGGTTCAGGGCTTAAGTTTTAGGGTTTAGGGTGCTATACGGGCCTTTATAATACACTATAATACAGGAGGAACTATCAGGGAATAGTCTTACTCTTACTCGTTGTGCCGACCCTTACAGGTATAAGGGTATCTTAAGAAGGGTTCTATGGGATTTAGTGGATTAGGGCTCAGCTCAAGCATTGTAGGAGCAGGAGGTGGATGAAGGAGGAAAAGAAGCAGCGGCAGTTGCAGCAGCCTTGCGTCAGGATCGCTGTGATCGGGTGAAAATCGTAAGCAGCGATCTGTCATCGTGATTGTCAATTGAGGAGCCGGATGTCTTGGTTCTTTGTTCTCTGGCTTCGTGCAGCTTTGATGACCGATGCTTTCAACGTTCGCGCAAGCTGGTGAGATGTTGCATGTGTGATTCTGAACAGAGTAACTTGTCTTCTCATTGAAACTTCACTCCCACACAAGGTGCACGGCCCTTAAGGTGCACGCGTCATGTCAACAGAGGTGTCGAAGTGATGGGCATGCTCACTGCATGGGTGGGCATACTGACCCGGTGCAAGGCCTTTCACAATTGTAATGCCTGGTGGTCTCTGGGCTCAAGACACGACATGCCCCTCGTGTTAGACTTGTGCTAAGCAGAAAGACACACTACCCTAAACGCTTGACCTTAAACCCGTTAATATAGGGGCCTTAATAGTTACCTATGGTATTTTGGGGGTTCCTTATTATATTTATAGTATAATGGGCCCCCAAACCCGATTCTAATTATTAAGGCCCCCCATATGAGAAGGAATTTCATGTTTCGGGTTTTCGGTTATTAGAGCTCGGGGTGTGGAGTATCTTTAACTGCAACTTACACACTGGCACAGATCCAAGCTGTAGGCGTTGTCTATCGGGAAGCACGGCTTTAACTATGCTTTGTGCGAGTATGCCCATACCGGTACTTCTGGGGTCAGTCCATGCGCTGAGAAGTATGGCTGAAGCAGTTCATGCTGAACCCCAACCCTGAGTGACTGAGGGGTCCTCCTCACAGCTTTGCACAGAAACAGCTGGTTGAACTTTCATTTCAGGCCAGAACAATTGGGACAAGGTCTGGCTCAAAGATGCACTGCTGTACGGCTGTTGTGTGCTTGGTTGCTTCAGAGAGGCTGCATAAAAGTGTAGCAGTTCGAATTGGGGTAGTACTGCCCAGATGATGCATATGCACATTGGTCGGATGCTGTCTCCACTGGTGCATGGCGAACTTTTTTAGTAGTTGCCGCTTGCCTCCGTCCCGATTCGCCAAGGTTGTGTCTTGGACAACGAGCAAGCAATCTTCGTTTAACGACATCAAGACTCTGCTTGAGCAAGATGCAAAAAGCGTGGGGCAAGCACGATGTTGCCATCTGCATATGTGCATGCAGTTAGGTTCATGCACAACATGTAGACATACATACATACATACATACATACATACATACATACATACATACATACATGCCTTATCTACTTGCATACACACAAACATATGTGCAGACATGCGTGCGTGTCAATGTTGACATGTATTTATAACACAAATACGAAGAGTGCAAATACACACCGCACATGTTGAATTGATTCGTCTTGTACATATACGTCATCCAGAACATACCTTGGCACATCTACGGGATGAGCCTTGACAGATCTGCTAACTATTCAGATCTGCATCTTTGGTCCCATCCAATCATCCAGCCGCACGCCGAGAGAGCTCAACCCCCCCTTAATTTCGCAACATGGCGTCGTATCTCAGCTGACGTCTCTGAGTAGCTAGACTTCGTCAGTTGAGACCTTAAGAGGTGCCGGGCTCTCTCTGGGATATAGGCCTCAGCGCAGCGTGCGATGACGGGCCGACCGACTGCGGCTGCGGCGGCGATCCCTGGGCGAGCGCCGCATCTCGACCTTGCGCCTCGGAGTCGATGCTCGCCGCCGTGGCGGCGAGCGGCGCGGCGAGCGGGAGCGCGGCCGTCGCGAGCGCGAGCGCGGCCGTGGCGAGCGACGGCGAGGCGACGCCGCGCTGCGCACTTTTTCGGCCTTGGGGCCCTGCTGGGCCTCACGGGGACCTTTGCCCACAGGCCGGCCAGGGCTCCGTACATTCCGGGCCTCACGGGTGTCCCGCACATCGCGATCATCGCGAAGGTTTCTTCGGGCCTCTTCTCGCATCCGTCGCTCGGACTGAGAGCGGCTCCGCCCGCGAACTGCTTTTCTTGGAGCCGCTTTTGGGCCCTCACGGCTTGGTGAAGCTCTGCTGTGGCTGTCCTGGTCCTCCTGAACTCTTCCTCGGGCTCTGGGTGCAGGGGCGTCCCTGCCGTCTCCTGGCACAGGCTGACGTGCAAAAGCAGCTACCTACTTCTCGCGTACTCCAGATTGTGATGCATCACCCAGAAGATCTATCCAGCTAGCTGGCCTCCGTCTACATATTATGCTTTATCGTGTATATATGCTTACATATATACATTATACATGTGTATGTATGTATATATATATATATACATATACATGCATGTTTCTATATATATATATATATATGTATATTGGTACGTGTGTGTGTGTGTGCATATATGTATGTGTGTGTGTATGTATATATGTATAAATGCATGCATGTAAAGAAACTCAATGCAACGTAACATACTGTAGTGGAATGTAGTGTAACTAATGTACTGTAACTCATGTATGTATGTATTTATGGATGCATGTATGTATGTATGTATGTATGTAACCGCAGATAATATACGCATACACATGCACACATAGCTCTGAACCTATCCTTCGCGGGCATGTGTATGTCATCTCCATGCCGAATTGCGCAAGACAGGTAGTG